CACTTGGGGGGGGGAAGGCGTGCAGAGCCCCCTGGCTGCCCCTATGCATAGGAGCCTGAGGAGGGGCGGACATGCCGCTGCTTCCAGGAGCCGTGTGGAGCGGGGCAATCCCCAGACCCTGCTCCCTGACTGGAGCGCCGGAGCAGGGCAAGCTCTGGACCCCACTCTCCGGTAGGAACTTGAGGGCCGGATTAAAACTTCTGGAGGGCCGAATGCAGCCCCTGGGCCACAGTTTGCCTACCCCTGTGATAGAGCCTACTGGTATGTCTACATTGCAATAAAAAAACCTCATAGCTGCACAGACACACTGCGTGGCTTGCTGCCCAGTGAATTTGTTACAGAGCGGGACTGGAAGCATGGGTGAGATCCTGTCCTATTAAACACAACAGAAGTTTTGCTGTTGACTTCAGTGGAGTCAGTATTTCACCTCCAGTCTCATGAGTGCCAGCCAGTACCTTAACCACCAGATCTTCCTTCCTTATTCAAATAGTAACAAACTAACCTCCCCACTTCTACTTCTGAAAACAATCTTCAGTCACCATTTGTATTTTTCAACCACCGCTATAATCGGCTGGAAACTTAATTACTATTCAGTTGCTGCATATTTTCCAAAATTAAGTTGCCCTAAAATGAAACAGTAGTCACACAAGATCTTTGGCCATGTAACTGAAAATACTTCCCATTTGTTTTGTTTAATTTTAATTAAAAAGAAGAAAAAGTTAGGTTTAAAAAAAAATTCCCAGTCTTACCAGGTCCGCTTGCATGGTTTCCTGTTTCTTTATTTCAAAATTATACAAATGAAAAACAAGCAATAAAAATTACTTTAAAAAGTTGTGGCTTGGGCTCACATCGCAATTACATAATTTCCAAACCACCCTGTAATCACTTTTGTCTCATAACAAAGATCAATTGCATTACTCATCATAGCTGGCTAAATGACATTTGAAATCGCTATCATTTATACATCACTATAGGTTTACATGGCTCTATGAAAACTAATAAAAAATCGACAGCTCCCTACCTACAGGTACTTACACTCATGATTAGAAATAAGCAGAAATAATGCATAAGCAAAATTGCCATTGTCATGACATAAGGTAAATATTGTTTAAGTGAAAAAAACATATAATCAACTTCACACACTGTCTGAGTGAAATAAGCATGCTCAAAATATATTGTTATATTTTTATTGGGCACAAGCCATCATGTTATAAGTGTAAAGTGTTTTGTTTTGTTGGACTAGTTTTTTTTCCCCTTTTCCCTTTTATATTCCTCTAAACCAGGGGTAGGCAACCTATGGCATACGTGCCAAAGGCGGCACGCGAGCTGATTTTCAGTGGCACTCACACTGCCTGGGTCCTGGCCACCGGTCCGGGGGGCTCTGCATTTTAATTTAATTTTAAATGAAGCTTCTTAAGCCTTTTAAAAACCTTATTTACTTTACATACATCAATAGTTTAGTTATATATTATAGACTTATAGAAAGAGACCTTCTAAAAATGTTAAAATGAATTACTGGCACGCGAAACCTTAAATCAGAGTGAATAAATGAAGACTCGGCACACCACTTCTGAAAGGTTGCCGACCCCTCCTCTAAACTAAGCTTTCACTGTGGCTTTTGTGAAAGACCCTGCTCAACTTTTGTAATGTTTTGTGAGCTCATTCAGTTGTGTTAGAGACAAATGCTGCATTCTCTGGGGAGGCAGCCATTGTAAGATTTTGTAGGTAGAGTGTATTCAACTCTGACATTTTTTTAAAACTTTCAAGAGGAAAAAAAATAGTAACCTAAAGTTTAAAATTATTAGTCATTCTTAGTCTAATTTTATTCTAGAGAGATTGCTATGCTTAATGTGGGTAAAGAGGCTAAGGGAAATAATTGGTATTGTAGGGAGCTGAGATAAAGAATTACCTGTATTGATTTTTTTAAGGCAATCCTCCTTTAAAACATCACCGACACTTCTTGTGGAATATAAATAAGGAATAGACTTCCTGGTCTAGAGATTTCATCCTTCTTCTTTTTTTTAATAATAAATTACATCATTTAATGAGTTGATAAAAGCAGGGGTATTGTTGAGAAATCTGCATTGGTCTACTGTTTTCACGTTTCTACATTTGTTCCTTCTCATGGGAGGGTCATGCAGTGAGGTAGAAGGCTTGATTAGAGATAAGAAATACGGTGCTCTCCAGGAATTTCTGATGTGACAGGATTAGAATCTGAAGGGAAGCTTTGCCTGATTTCAACCGTTGTAGGTTTGAAAATAGAGAATAATAGGGTTCATACTCGTTCTGGTTGAGTCTGAAAAAGGGAGCAAGGGGGGGGAAATCAAATGCAAAGAATAGGATGCAAAATGAAGCAATTGTGGGGAGGGGAAGGACACAGAGAAAGGGAGAATGTGTGTGGTAGGGAGATCAGAAAGAGAGGAAGAAGAGAGAGACAGATTCTAATAGAAAAAGAAGTTGATTCAGTTGTTGATATTTTTCAAAGCTGTCTAGGGGTTTTAGCCACACCTATATGGCTTAATCCCCCAGGTAACTAGAGCACACTTTTGTACAGGCTTAATTTTTGGCACGCTTTTCCATCCCAAAACTTAGCATAAATTTCCATTTTAGGGATGAGAAAACTGTTTAAAAAACCCCAAAACAAATAACTTAATGACTGCTACCCCATTAATTGCAACCGCTTGCAGCATAGCAGAGGAATAGCGTAGAAACTTTTGTTGTTTTTAAACACATCATGTGCAGGAGGATTTCCTCCCATAGCAGAGCTGCATCTCTTCACCTTAAATAGTTACAAATATCTATAAGATCTCTTTACTTATATTGAAAATCATGAATTGCAATATGTTCATTTTATCATATGGTGATGATTATCAAATTATTTCTGTCCTCTAAACCCTATTGTGGGTTTTGCAATAACTAGTTTTGGATCTAGAAAGGCTAAATGCAAAAGAAAAAAAGGAATAAAGAAAGATAAAATTGTAAAAACTCAGGAAATTGAAAAGGGAAGTATCTAATCTTTCAAATGGCAATCTCTAAACATTGCAAATCCTGGATGCTTTATGGTATAGATTTATTATTTTTATGACAAGCAATAGTAGATTAAGCTACATATTTAACAAGTAAAGCAGGAGTATGGGACATGTTGCAACACAACTGAGTTAACATTTCCGGTAGAACCTTAGGCTTGGTCTACACTAAACCCCCAAATCGAAGTAAGGTACGCAACTTCAGCTACGTGAATAACGTAGCTGAAGTCGACGTACCTTACTTCGAACTTACCGCGGTCCACACCCGGCAGGCAGGCTCCCCCGTCGACTCCGCGTACTCCTCGCGTCGAGCAAGATTACCGGAGTCGACGGGGAGCACTTCTGAGTTCGATTTATCGCGTCCAGACAAGACGCGATAAATCAAACCCAGAAGTTCGATTGCCTGCCGCCGAACCAGCGCGGTAAGTATAGACAAGCCCTTAGTTCTCAGCATTTTAACTGTATAAACCTAACATTGGGCTAGCTTTTAGGGGTGAGTATTTACATGACTGGGCTTTTAAAATTGAAAAAGGGGGAGAAAATGAAAAAACATGAAATTAGTTGGCTTTACAGAATTTACAGTCCCAATCTGTGGAATTTACATGCTCCTCCAGTTTTGCCCATAGTGATAGAAACAATCCTATTTGCCATTAGAACTGGCACTATTTGGACAATTGGTGTGTTTGCTACAGCATATCAAATGTACAGTTCTGTGGCATAGGCATTTCTAAAAGATCACTGGTGGTTTAACCACCAGCAAAAATTGCTGCAAACCTGTTTTCTGTGAATATTCTCTCACCATTTTAACAAACTAACACTTTCCCCTCTTTTGTGTTCCCTTCTATGAACATTCATGTGACTGAATCTTGCTAGCATGAATGCTCACAGAAAACAAATTCCAAACTCAAGCATTCAAATACTTGTAGGACATACATTTTAATTTTGCTTTCCACGAACATCTGCACCAGAAACCTGACTGCAGCAGCTGCACTCCTCCGATGTGTGAACTGTAACAATACCAGGTGACTGAAATTATTAACTGCAGTAAGCAACACAAGCTGAATTTTGGATTTCGAACAATACAGCATTGACAACTCAAGCATTCAAAAATCATGAGTCAAATCCCAAAAGATCATGGTTGTCTTAACATTCAATATTTTATGAGAATTATAAATGTTGGGTTCTTTTTATTTGCCATTTAGCTTTGAGCTTCCAAGTTACACTTGGGTCACATTTTCCAGTTTTTCTCTGCAACTGTGAGGGCTAGAAACTTATTTTAAATGAAATTTAGGATTCTCCCATAATTCCATGCTTCCAGAAGCTGAAGCTTTAAGAAAAACATCAAATATTGTGAGAATCGTGATAAAGCTGTGAGAGCTGACAACACTGGAATGAATAAACAAAATGCACAAAATCAAAAACCTCAACAAATTTTGAATAACAAATACGTGTTGAGAAAATCATGACTACTTGGATTTTCCACAAACAAAAAAGAAGATAAACTCAATAAACACATTATTTTTTCTGAATTATTTGCTTCACTCTAATGAGCATTTCTGCTCACAGGCTTCCTGAGTGTGACAAGCTAGTTCTGAATCTGGTGAGTTGCTCAATAGTTTGTAGTTATTTGTGCAGAGCATTGGGATTTTGATTTTAAGCATTTGTGTGTATTTCTCTGTAGGCTAGTTTTAGATCTGCTCAATGTAATTACACGGTAATCTGCAGAACCCTGTAGTTACTCTATAGTTACAGTGTTATATTCCAATTATAACTATATAATTAAAGGAAATTAACATGATAGTTTCCTCTGTAACTAGAAGTGCTACCATATTACACTCTCTCACTCATTCTCTCTACCCCTTACACACTCACACTCTTTTTCTTTTTTTGCCTTCATGCTTTTTTCTGTGGACCTTTTTCCCCCCATCATCTCTCCATTGGAAGAAATGTCTCCTTCCAAAGTCCCCGCTCCTCTCAGAATGACAGAGAGCGCCTCCGTTTCCTAATGGCATCCTCCCCATGAATAAAAGTGGACAAGGAGTAGCTGATGCGAGTGTCCAGGGTGTCAGAACTGCTCCCAGTGCTGTGGCCCTTCACGCATGGACACAGGCACTGTGAGATGTTCCTGCGGATATAGCCATCGAAGCAGTAGTAGATGAAAGGGTTGGCACAGCTGTTGGCAAATGCAAAGGGGCTGCTCACTTCCATGCCCACCTGGGCAAGGACATAAGGAAGGCAGAAAGGTGGCTTCGGGTCCTGGAGCCCAGAGATGATAGCCAGAAGCTTGAAAATGTTGTAGGGAATCCAAGAGAAAACAAAGGCAACCACTACAATGAAGACAATCTTGATAGATTTCCTCAGCTTTTTGTCATGTTTCCCAGATTTCTGGTAATGCATGCAGAGCTTCTTGGTGATGGAGCAGTAGAAGGTCAAGATGCTCAGCAAGGGGAAAAAGAAGGCCAGAATTAACGTTACCAGTGACACAAACCGTTTAGTAGGTGTGAGCTCCACATCTGTGCAGTAAGCCTGGCCATTATATTGCCTGAGTTCTCTGGACAGAAGGGTGGGAAGCCCTAGGAGGCAGGAGAGAATCCAGACACAGATGCAAAGTCCATTAGTGTAGAATCTTGTTCTGACTTTCCTGGCTACAGAGGGGTACATGATGGCCAGGTACCGATCAGCACTCATGCAAGTGAGGAGGAAGATACTGCAATACATGTTGACTGAGATGATGTAGGAACTGCCTTTGCAGAGAAAGGAGCCTGACCTCCAGACCCCCAGCCAGATCTCCTTGTGTACCCAGAGTGGCAATGTGAGGAGGAAAACAAAGTCAGAGGCAGCTAAGTTGAGGATAAAGGTGTCGATCAGCCTGCGGACTCTAAATTTGAAGACCAGGGCTCCCATCAGGATGGAATTGCCGACGATTCCCACCAGGAACACAGTGGTATACAGAATAGGAAGGAAAATGCCCATATATGGCATGTGCAGAGCTTGGCAGTACTCTTCAGGACTCTCAGTGGGAAAGAAATATTCATAGCTATCGTTATAGTTGAAAGGTGTCTCAGACATCTTAAAGAAAAAAAATGATCGAAGCCCGTCTCTGGACGAGCTGACACCACCCTTACTATTATCATCAGAGATAGCAGTGTTGATCTTTCTTCTTTTTTCGAAAGATCTTAAGAAACATCTTAAAAAAAAACCACACCCCCATACACACCCCCGCACACCCTCTCACACACTTTAATATTCACAATTCTGCATCCCTCTCAGCCAATCATATAAAGACAAGCAAAAGGAGGGTCTGATTAGTCAAACCCACTCAAGTCAGACGTTCTGTAGGAGTTGATTGGGTTGAGTTGTATTTTTTTGTCTAACTGATTTTTATCTGCATTTTGCATTTGACCATGATGCCTTGTAAGGTTGGCTTTTTTTTAAAGGTTTTGAACGGTTTGGGTAAGGTTTTTTTCTTTCTTTCTCTTTAAGCGGGATATTATTATAGGTGAGAAGGTTTGAGATGATGGAGAGAAACCAGGAAGTGGTTAATACAGCGTTATGTTCTTTTCTCTCTCTCTCGACTAAATTGTTGTTAGTCTGTTTATATATTTTTCTAAGGCTTGGAGGTTTATACCTTGGCTTATTTTGTCAACTGATTTTCTGTTTACAGTGACTATCACCTATATAAATGTGACTAAGGAAAAGCTGTTTAAAACCCTGCCTTCTCCATTCTGACCTGTAGCAGCAAATCCTGCTATTCCAGCCCTTGGATCTGCACACAGAGTCTTGCCAATGCATATCAGTCCTGACTTGCAGCACTACCTGCTATTCCATTTCTGGATTCCTCTCTGTGTGGCTCAGAGTCAGAAAGGGTCCTTGTTTCCATTTTCTGCTGCAATTTCAAGTCTAAAATTGCTCTTCCTTCCCCATCGCCAGCTCTGCCTAACTACCTCACTCCTGACCTCCAAAATGCCTGTTTATGTCTTGCCTCCCCCTGGCACTACAAATTCCATGCAGTTCTGGTATGTAGCTCCTATGTTATTCTCTCTTGCTGTCATACTGAAAGCTTTGCTAATTCATTTAATCTCTTATCTGCAACATCTGCTGCTATTCCAATTCCAAGCTACCCCACGTACAGCCCTGTCAGCATTGCTTAGTCTCGATTTAAAGTCCTTGATTCCTGTACAGCTTTGCCAATGCCAATATTCCTAAACAGCAACACATCTGATTATTCTATTAATCTTTCCAGCCAATAAATCTCAGTTCTGATTTCCAGCCACTCTCCTCTGTCTTCTTCCAACATTCTCCTCCACTCAGCCCTGCAGCTTTAGATCTGCAAACTCCCCAGCTTTTCCAGCCCTGCACCACCACACAACTCTGCCAATGCACCTTAGGCCTGATGACCAGTACCCTCAAACCTGCAGTGGCCCCATAGATTCTGAAATCGTCTTTCAAGAGAAATGGGCTAAGCCTCATAGCTTAGAACATTTAAAATTATAGTGCACAAACTCCACAAAGTATAGTTACAGTGTAGTATCTGTCCTTCCCAGGCACAAGGATAGACTAGTTTTATCAATCATCAGTGATCCAGGGAACGTTCCCATTGGTCCACTGAATGAAAGATGTTGAGAGACAACTGATTTGGGATTTGGTGTTTTTTGGATATGAGATGGTCTGTGAAAAGATCTCTGTTATGAAGTGATCATAGAATAGAAAGGTTTGAGACCCCTTGGACTGAACAAGATAAAAGATCTTTCCCATCTCTTATTTCTGTGATTCTGTGGCACAGTGACTAGAGATGGCTGAAAAATAAGAATAATTTTCACAAAACTTTGTCCCCGTATTTCTTTTAAAAATGTTTAAATTCAGAAGTTTTCAACCAGCTCTAATAGTGAGTTGAGAACTGAGCCAGTTTCATTCATTTCTATTCAAAGGGACTTTTTCCTTCAAAAATCACTTGCAAAATTGTATACCCAGATGGGATGGGATGGGCATTCCTTTCCCTTCAGTCACTGTGTCAGGAAATATGCTAAATTAAAATTAGCTCCACAATAATTCCAGCATGCTAGCAAATACATATGATATATTCCTCTATAGTGTATTTAGAACTAGATTCAGGGGACGCTCATAAATGTATGCAGGGCTCTCTCCCCATCTCTCATCATTAACGATTTAATAGCAGTTTCTCCTTAAGATTAACTTTTTCCACAATGCTCACAAGAAGTGAATCAGTCATAAATATTTAAAAAGACCTTAACTGAGTCATCAAGATATGCATGTGCCCAAATTGAAAAACTACATAGTTGTACCTTTATAGTTTCACACTCCATCCCTTCCCTACAGTTTGTTAAGCACATTTGTTTAGTTAAAAATTAGAGTGTACGCTGTTTGCAACAGGGCTCATTTCTATTTGTTCTGTAGAGTATCTAGCATGCTTTCTGGGTGCTGTAGTGAGTTACCATATTACTAACAATTATTTTACAAATAATTCAGAACATTTACAAGTCCAATGTGAAGTATTATCATAAATAATTAAAAAGTGATCTATAATTGTCAAAAAGGCAGCAAAAAAGTATCTTGAATGTATTAGCCTTGCTTTTGTATTGTGTTGATTCAGTAAGGACTCTTATTCATGTAGGGCCAGATTTTCGGGCACCCACAGCTACAACCAGGTTTTCAATAGAGCTTAGCTCCCATTTATGCACCTAAATTAGGACCAGATTTTTCAAATGTGCTCAGTACTTCTGAGCCACCATTGTGACCAGCTAAGATCATTTGAAAATGCAGCCACATGGGAGCTGAAGTCTTCTGAAATCTGGCCCTAAATTCAGTCATTTCTAAGCACTAGTTTGAATTAGCACCATTCTCCTTTAATGGTTATATTTTTGCAATGTTCAAAAAGGCATCTTGGGACAATTTTACATACGTTTGTCATGCTTAAAATGTACTAATTGCCTTAGATATAGAACTAATATTACCTCAATATTTGCAGTACTGTATTCCCAGTCTTCCCTATGGGAAAAGCCAAGGTAATTTAAGGCAAAATTAGGACGCTCTTAAGCATGATGGCTGTAAGTTGAAGTGTAATTGTGTTTCCCCTAAAGCTGCAGCAGCTTTGCAGAAAATAGCGATCATACCAGTTGATTTCCTTGTTCTCAATGGTGAAAGGCTGATAGTACATTTGTGATACTAGCCTTCTGATTCTGTGATAAACTCAGAAATGAGATACATGGCCACACTATCGGCATAGGAAGTCTAAGGCAATATTGATTTTAATTTCTTGAATGCAAATAAAGTTTTCTGTAATCTTAGATTCATGATTCAGCATTTCCAACATCAAGATTTTTAATCGGCTGATAGTCTCTCTATTTATATTTACTTATTAAATGTGCTTTTCTTGTAAATGTACATGTGCCTCAAGCTTTTTGCCCCAGGGTGTTTATATAAAATGAAATAATAAATACATCAAATAAAAAGTGACAGTAATAAACAGTGAGATAATATGAGGGGAACAGAGGTAAATTCGGATATAAAACAGAATGCAATAACTCATAACCGGATATAGTTCAGAAGCCTGCACTAAGGGGAAAAACAGCAGGATCTGCCCACCCATTAAAAAGGAAAGAATTTATAGTCTTGCTGACACTGACTATGGCAAGTTTGCAGGCACCCAGCTAATACAGATTCCAGCCTGGGGTCTCTTTAACACTTGTCATTGTAATAGCAAGAGGCATGCCAGCTGAGAGGGGTCATTTTCTCTAGTACCAGTTTAGGATACCTGAAATGCTGTTTATGCCAGATGTAGGACATGTTGTCCTCTGTAGGGTCTTGCAACACTAGGGAAGCTGTAACACTAGTTAGGGTAAGAACTGCAGGCACTGAGTCAATATATAGGCAAGGGGGTAGTTTTGTGGATGGAGGTGCCAACCGAGGCTATTCTTCAGGATGGTTGTGGCAGATGTAGGGCACGTTCTCCCCTATTGGGTTTCTCTCCTAGTGGAAATTACAGCTGACAACTAGGGTTTGGAAAAACAGAATCAATCTGTTGGTTGGTTGGGTCCTGGGCCACTGATAAAAATAAAGAGGACAGAAGAAACCAACAGTGAGCAGTAAAAACCAAGAGTCTATCTGAAAAATTCTAATGGAGTCTACTGGCGTTTCTACTGCGGTTTAGGGGGATTTGAAATGATGGTCATTAGAGTGGGTTACAATTTTTTAACCAAATTTTTTTAATTAAAAATGCTCTTTTTACATACATATTTTTTTTAAAAATCTATTTTTGCTATTTTTTATAAAACTGTTGTATTAGCCTTCATTATCTTACCATACAAGTATTAACAAATCTTATTCAGAACCTGTATTTTTCTTTAAAAGACCAATTTATGCAAAACTTTTAATCACTATTTATTATAAAAAAATCATTTTTTACTATTTTAAAAATAGCAAATGTTCCAATATTTTTTTTATTTTATTTTTAAAAATCTTGCTATGTGGCTAAAATGACCAATCAAATATTATACAGAGGGGAAAGGGGGAAATAAGAGAAAATGAAAAACAGAGAAGAAAAAAAAATTGTTATTGTCCGTGTAATTTTTATGTCATCTTAATGGTGGGATTTGAAAAAATCCCATGTGGGTGGGATTTGAAAAAATGTTTCAAAATTTAAAATAAATCCTTTTTTAAATTTCCATTTAAAAAATGAACAATGCTAAACAAAAATGTTTGAAAATAAATATTAAAATATTGAAACAAATGTGTGTGAAAACTTTTGTAAAAAATAAAATTCTGCTTCAAATATTATTTTGAAACCAATCTCTCTCTCTCCCTCCCCTTCTCCCCCATTGTCAACAGTTTCTGGGTCATGTGGACTGTGGAAGGCTTTCCAACTGGTCAAGAGGTGGAGTTGAATGGGACTGTCCTATGAAAAGCCATTAGAGATGAGGAAAACCAGGATGAAGGGCAGGAAGGACATGCACTGTTGATTGGGCAGGGGGGAAGAATTTAAAGATTCTGGTGCTATTCAGCAGGGTTCAGGGCAGGGCATATACACCCTGGCAGAAATCCTGGGGGCATCTGACCTCATGTGCTGC